AATTTTTTTTTTTTTTTTTTTTTTTTTATTGTTGGTAAATGAACCGAGCGTCTTTCTTCAGTTCATTGAGACGCTTTCTATCACCAGCATTGATACGGCGTTCACGGCTGTCTGCATCACTTTTTGCTTCCAGGATACCGCTGTGTTCTAAAAGGTCTTTGAACTGGCGTCGTAACTGCCTAAAATTGTAACTGTCATTGATACGATTTTCATTTTCAAACATCTCAAACGTAGAAAAATCAATCGATTAAGAGGAATTAACCATGCAAATCATCAAATCGCTTTGCTTTATCTCGTCATGACTTAGTTATAAGTTTTTTGGAAATAAAAAGTCGAGAGATGAGAATAATTCGTTGTTACCGTAAATAACCATAGAAGAATGTTTATTAGTAAAAATTGTCGTTTTTAAACTCCCGCCTGATTTCATACATGCGTTGAATATCGATTCCCTTTTCTCGACCCCATCGACGTATATCGTCACGTTCAGCTTGCACTTCCACAAATTCTCTAAAAAGTTCGACAACGAATATAAAAAATCTTCATGGAGTCGTACTAAAATATTTAAAAAATATTAATAGTAATAAAAAATATTAATATTGTAATAAAAAATATTAATATTGATCCACAGCATAAAATATCGCATTTCTATCAGTGAATCTTCAAGAAACTATTTTGTAAATGCTTTGTATCCCAAAAATATTGTGTTCATTGAAGAATATAAACATGAAACAAATAATATAAAGAAAAAGAACTGCGCTATATCGAAACACTTCAGTTTATGCTCCCACCCCGTTTTGTATCTGCTATTATGATTCAGAAGCATTAATAGTAGTAAGCTTTTCTCGGTTTCCACATTTACTAGCGTAAATGTTCCCAGTACAACGCTAGCAATGTTCATTTTAAAACAATACAAAAAACAAAAATATAAAAATAAAAAGAAAGATGGAAGTGGAATATCTATAGAGAACTTCGATAGAATTAGGACTGAAGATTATCTTTATATAATTATATAATATTATCGATTTACTTAGAACTCACCGATATGCATTAATCAATGCAAACGGATCACCGCTATCAGACATAATATTTTTCCTTCGGTCCAATATATCCGGTTCCCGAAACGATCGATTGGTGAAAGGTGAACTAGTTGCTAAACTAGCAGCAATTGTTAACGATGGCTCGACTTGTTCGAAAACACAACCGTATATTAAAACCTCAAAAATTAATGATAAACAAGACTTGGAAAGTGTTCAAAATGATAATTTACCATAGAAAAAAAAGTAGCCGAAAAATGAATAAAGAGTAGCTTAAAAGTGCATTTGCAAGCTACTCATTCCATATCCTAACTACTTATTTTCCGCTTGGACACACACTGAGATATACATTTAAAACAAACTTTTGCAACTGGAATTTCCACTGGAATATTCGCTATTATCTTGCCTAAAGATGTTAAAACTTTCGTATTGCCAGCTTCCAATATTCCCTGCCTCCATAAGCTTTCCACTGCTTCTTCTAACTCACCCATATTCGGCTTTTCAATAAATGGAAATTCAAGTGGTGAAACTGAAATGGAATAAAATATGAACTTATAATATGGTAAAATGCTTTTTTATACAACAGTTCCCAAATTTATCTGGAACTTAGACATCCAGTTTTATCTAATAATTTGTTAAGTGTTTGCAAAATAAGTTGGTGTCGCCATAATCTATTCAGCATAAAACTACTCACTTCCGAGATTCATATTTACGATTTGCATAGCAAGTGATTCCAACGAAACTCTGTTAATTTCAGAAACTGTAAACGGATCCATTTTATCAAAATGTTGCTGGGAATAAAGCCTGTAACATATACCTGGACCGGTTCTACCTGCACGACCTGAAAATGCAGCAAAAGCATTACTTTCCTTGCCTGGCTTAGGTTGCCTTTGAAACGTTAACATTTTCACTGGAAACTTTTTTGATTTCTAGAGCTCTAGGCCAAAGAAATGCGTCAAAGCTTATAGAATGAATTCCTTTTCTGTCATTGCAAATTTAATCCCGCTTCCCCCCATTTCAAAATATATTCCTTCCATTTCATTTAATTCAAAATTATGATACCTTTCCGCTGGTCGGCGGACGCCTGAGAAGTCCAGTATTCTCGAAGTGAATGCATCCCTGTTTTTGAATCAAATTTTACCAGATTCACCTTTCCGGAATCAATAACAAATCGGATCTGGAGAAAAAAAGTCATTGCTTTTTTTATAAACAGCATTACATTCGCAAAAAAAAGAGGGAAAATATAAACAACATTACCCGGTCGATAGTAACAGATGTTTCTGCGATATTGGTACTTAATATGCATTTTCGAATTCCTAATGGCGCTATATCGAACACTTTGTCCTGTTCTTCTGTTGATAAGGTGCTGAATGTATAAAGTTGTGTTATTTAGCAAAAAATATGAAATGCGAAGTCCGACTAAATTTTCCTACAATTTTCCAGATTTTATATAATTACTGTTTAGTTACTTAAATGTCACAAAAGGCGAAAAAAGAAAACTCGAGAATCTTACCTGTGCAGCGTCAGAATAATCCATTTCTTCGATGTTTCCGCATAGACTTTTAAGGCTTCCGCAACCGTTGATATTTCTGAGACACCATTCAAGAATATCAAAACGTCACCTCTTTCATTACTATCAACTTTTGCATCGATCATTTGAAGGATCTAAATGTACCAAGGATTATTACTGGGGTTGTGTTATACTTTCTAATCAAAAAAAAACTCATTTGAAATTGAAAAAAAAAAAATTTTCTTTTACGGTACTAAAGTGGTAGAGAAGAATAGCCTAACTGGTGGATTTTGAAAAAAAAATGACTGCTGAATGGTACCACAAACATCTCCCAGAAAGTGTTACATCCTTGAATTTACCCGATGTTATCTCTCGTTTTCTCAAGATGCAGCGTGTACGAATGAACAGATTTGTTCTTCAAATGTGAATGTATAACTCACATTAAGATATGGTGCCGGATCAATTTTTGTTTTCTTCTTTTCCGATTCGTACTGGTCATGCTCTTTTATTGGCATATATCGTAGCTCAATGGGATAAAGGCGTCCGGCTACCTAAAGTAACTGATTGTTTTCCAGGTATAGAAATTTCGGTTGGAGAATACGATGAATTTGCACAACATAATACATGACAAATATAAACTGGGTAGTAGAAATTGTAAAGAAATTTCAATAAAACAGTCATTCATCATTTGAAAATCCTTATGAGAGAAAACTTTTAGAAACACTTTAAATCGTTCAAAAAGACACCTTGATAACTGGAGCATTTTCGAAATAATTCTGAAACAATTCCAGATTGATGGTAGCACTCATTAAAATTAGTTTCAAATCATCCCGCCTTCGTACCAAGTTGCGAAGTAGTCCTAACAAGAAATCACCGGATAAATTACGTTCATGGATTTCATCCAATATAATGACCTAAAATGTAACGTAATGGAATGGTAAACAAGCTTCTCTAAGCAAAACATGCAAACTCTTATTTACAGACACATAGTTAGGAATGAATGGTCATTAGTAATCACTGGTTGGTCACCGCTTCTCACTAACAGTTCAGTTAATACACTCAGCATTGGTTTGAAGACTGACATACGTTTTACTGTCAGCGTTATTGTTCCTGTAACCTGAAATCGAGAAGAACGCGTAAAGCAAAACTGAAAAAGAGATCAAAACAAATGATTTCATACATTATATTGACTGAGTTCCGGATCAGACTGCAGCTGCCTTAGAAGTAGTCCTTCGGTTACAAATAACAGCCGAGTTTTAAAGTACGCGTCTTTTCGAACCTTATTTGATAAGCGATCTTACTTCCATATTCATTCAACGTTTCATAGGCAACTCGCCGAGCAAGAGCTATTGCTGCAATGCGACGTGGTTGCGTACACGCGATACGATCGTAATCTGCATCCAGAAGATACTGTGGAACCTGAAAACCGTTCAACTTTTTGAAATTGAATCAAAGAATTTGATATTGCTTCGAAAAAAACTTCTGCCTCTGTATAAAAAAATATACCTGAGTACTTTTGCCACAACCTGTATCACCAGCAATAAGGAGAACTTTTACCTGCAACAAGCGTTTTTTAATCCGTGCAAAATGGATAAATCACCAAAAACAAGTTATTTTAATTTTAATGGCAGTAAGATAATTTCCGATTCCAAGTAACTGAATCAAACAAATGAAAGTGTCATTCATTGATTTCATTAATTTGGATATCAAAGTTAATGCTTTCATTTCAATTCTCCTACACCATTAAATGAGGAATTACTATCAAAATTTAACATTTTGGAGTGTTTCCAAAATTTCGTCACGTTTTTCCGCAATGGGCAAGTTTTTTTGAGCAATACGCAATTGTCGTAACTGATTGAATTTCATTCGATTCTCGTAAGCAATAAACGATGAAAGGGCAAAAGTATATTCGGACAAGACGTGTTCCGGAACCTGAAATATATATAACCTAGGTAAATCCATGACTTGTACTAATACTACTTCCATGATTGAAATTACCAAAAAATGATCCGAACAACGACGACAAAATCAACAAAATGAGTTAAGTTCGACAACCAAGAAAATTCAGCACAGATGGAAAGAAAAGGCTAAGAAGGAACTTAAAACTAATCGAAGTAAGCACGAAAAGTGAATATTAGAATTTTTTTTTTAGTTTCTGCACCAATATTAAGTTGGAACTCGATAAATGTTTCAAAAATAAACAATACACAAATAACGTACTTCTCTCAATTCAAGGTCATCTTTTTCCCGAATATCCACAGCTAAACGAGTCGTATGATGGCGCAAGAATTTGGAGCTGTCCGGGATATCTAGCATATTACTCGATGATGCAGTGACACTCGATGATGCGATGACATCTTCCTCCTCCTGATGGTTGTGTTCCTTCCTCCTGCTAATATGATAAGTGACTGTAGTAATCAGATTACATGCTAATGCAAGAGTATAACTGATGAGATATCATGAAAAACTAAACTGATCAAAACAAAACAATGATTTCACGATAATGATGGAAAGTTTGAAATGCCGGTTGTGACAATTTGTAATATCACTAATGATTGTAAAAAAATGATATTACATAATTCTGCAATGATGACTACTTGAAAGCTTGAATAATACGGAAATAAGCATTTTTGACATATTAGCATATTTGCAAAATTTTGTCATCATTAATTGAGAAATACAAATCAAAAATTTTTGACAATATCATCCATACAGTTTGGAGGATCCATAAAATCGTCATCACTCGAACTCAGAAGGCTAAATTATACAATGAAGTAGAATTCATAGAAAAAAAACATAAGTCTAAAAGAAAAATTTTTTGAAAAAAGATAAATAAGTGAGAAAGTTGAACCTTTGAAGTTTAACTTGTAATTTGGAAAAGAACTTCCGGAAAAGTTTTTCGATATCTGAATCTTTTGCAGCTATTTTCCACGGCTCATCACCGAAAAAGAATCGCCGCAAACGTCCATAATGCTGTTCCAAATCAGAATTCATCCCATCCATACGTTTTATCCTGCAAGAAGAAATGAATTTTCTAAAATTAATTTTCAATAATATAACAAAAATATGAAGCGGAGATTGTAAGAAACAAACCTGAAGTGGAAATCCCATATAAGTTCGGTGGTTGAATAAACTTAAATAAAATCCAACTTTAGAAGAATAAAACTGGATTCGAAATTAAAGCTCATATTTAAATTATACAAATTTGAAATTGGAGTTTGAAGAGATAAGAATTGGAATTAAAACAGGTAAAAGCCTGGAGTTCTTTGAAGCTGAAATTTCATTCAAATTAATTTAAACAGAAATTTAGAAGCATGCGATTGGAATTCAAATCAGCTGAACTAAGGCTTAAAATTTTATAATTCTTATAGAAGTGAATGCAAAAATTCGTAAAATCCGAAATGGAAATGGAAATGAAATCAACCAACACAAGGAATTTAATTACTAAAAAGGAACAGGAAAATGCCAGTAATTTGTACATAGCACGAAATAGTGTGTATTTCAGGAGAAACGAAAGATTAGTATGATGTAGAAACTCCCAATAGTAATGGGATAGAAATTAACAAATAGTTGGTGAGAGATAGATGGGATTTGAAAAAGAACATGGGATTAACGGATTGTCAAGAGAAAAAGGGCAAAAGTCTCAGGTCTCTTGGAATTTGGATTATAAATAAATTACCGGAAAGCCCGCTAGCAGCGAGATTTGAATTTGCAGAAATTTTGGTCAGTTTAGCAAGTTAGTCTAATTTCAATAAAATATAAATTGAAACAGATTCAGTGGCTGTAGAAAAATTGCACGGAGACAGTCCATTTTAAAGTGATTCCTGTTACAAGCGATGAAAGTTAGTGTATCGAACAGATGACAATCCTTAAAGTAATCGTAATTGGTTCTATTCACTAATTTTAATGCTCTAATAGATTCTATTCACCAATCTCGAAGAATACGAACACCTTATACCAATCTCGGAAATACGAGAACTTTGCGCCATTCTCTAAGGTACAAGTATTATTTTACATCACTTTTGATCCCTGTAATGTTTCCAATAATTTATTGAGCAATGGTGATTAATGTAACTTTTAATGATAGTTTTGTTGGCATGTACCTATATTGCATTGAGGTAAGAAATATTCAATTTGTTTTAATGTAATTAATCTTTGATTTTTGGTCTCCTGCACACCCACACCTACACCTACATCCACGAGCACATTCCCGCATAGATTATTTAAGTGTTATCATTTCATTTATGATTACAAAAAATGTGCTACAATCACCAACAAAACTCTGGGAAAGGAATTATTGGTAAATTAGTCAACCAATACTGTCCGAATGAGTAATTCAAATGTCAATGAATCATTTGGAAAATTGTGAAATATTTGTTCCTTAATGTTGAATATACAGGTGTAAATAATAGGGTGTAAATAATAGCTAGGCATGAGTATATCAGTTAATGAATCCAGTTTAGGTGGGAGTACTGTAAATTTAGTAATATCAATTTATCAATAAGAAAAAAAACCATGAAGTAATATCAGTGAGGAAAAAAGACTAAAAATTGGAAAAGAAAGAAGAAAAAAGACTTTAATTAATTTGAAAAGAATTGATCAAATCATTTAAGGCAAGGTTGCAAAAGACGAAACATATAATGCGATCGTTGTTAAAATTTAAATTTATTTCAATTTTTACGCTACTATTTGCGAATCCAAAATGTTGATAGATAAAATCGATGATTAATTATACTTAATGAATTAATTGCTACTGGGATGATGAGGAATATTTGTCAAATTTGTGAAACTTTTGGATTTGATAGAAAAGTAATTGTTTTTTCTTTTGAACTTAATTTATTGCTATTCTTTTTCAACAAACATCAAATGGGCGATAATTTTCAAAAATTGATAAAATGCAGAAATAAAATAGCAATATATTAAGCAATCGATCCGATGTTTAGACTTATAAGAGAAGGCAATGAAAATATAATAATAAGAAAATTGTTAGCATAGAAGTCATCCAAAGTATTCCAATGTTAATTTTTAAGGTGATTCGTTAAAAAATGATAACAAATAATAGGATAAGCTTAGGTTATATTAGAATACTGATAAAGTTACATTGATTAAGATCAATACATATCAATAGATGATTAAATGATGGTGGTAGAATAGGGTGAGATGGCACTGTTTTACAATGCTAATTAATTAATGATTAAAAGAAGAGAAATCCATAACTGTTGCTTGTTTGGAATTTAATTTCCAATAACTTTTTTTGTGTCACTTCCCTTTTTTTTGCCAGAAATTTGAAAAAAAAGAGGGAAGTGAAACAAAAAAAAAAGAAACTGATGGAAATTAAATTTGAAATAAACAATAGTTATTATGAATTGTTTCTCCCTTTTAATCACTCATTAATTAACATTTGTTTTTAATTAAAGCGAGGGATAAAAAATAGGAAGACAATGATAATGAACAGTGAAATAATCCCATACGCTACTTCCTTTAGAAAAACTTTTTCTTCCTTCTGTTTGTTACTTTTCGCACAAATTTTTGTTTTTTGTTTTTGATTCATTGTTAAATTTCCCTCAAAATTTGGTAAAACGAAATGAAAAACAAATCTTTTTCTTCCTTTTGTTTGTTACTTTTCGCATAAATTTTTGTTTTTTGTTTTTGATTCATTGTTAAATTTTCTTCAAAATTTGGTAAAACGAAATGAAAAACAAAAAAAAAAATAAATTTTCATTTAGGCAATAGCGCCATCAGTGTATCCTTTTTTTTTTTGCATATTTACATTTAATTTTTGACAATTTGGCCTGTGACAATTTTAACAATTTGACTTATAATGATTCATAATTTAACAATTTGCTCCGTGCCATAATTGAATATACAAATATCTGTCGTCGTATACAGTACAAATCTGCAAAGATGACAATTGTTTCACTTTTTTTTTTCATTAAAAATAAATTTCGTTAACTTTCTCTAGTTCATATCTTTTCTGCAAGCTGTATTTGATATTGATCTATGATATACCATATTGCATTTTATCATTTTAGCAATGAAACTACTCGAGTAATAGCTATTTCAGTTTTGTTCTAAATTAAAACATTTGAGACTAAAATTAAGGCTTAATTTTCCAAATGGAATTCTTTTCCTTAAAATTAATTATTTAAATTGTCAAAAGCAATGAAATAAAAAATATTGAAACTAAGAAAATTACCTTTTTTGATATACAAATTTATAACTTTTTCCACTATGTTAAAAAAAAAATAAAATTTGGGAATAAATAAAGAGTAAAGAAATAAAAACGTTATCTTTAATAGCAAATGCCCGAATAATTCGCGATACCGCGGATGATATCGGTCAGTTTCCCTTCAATAATTGTTACCAAATTGTTATTTTCTTTCAAATTCATTATTATTACTATTATTGAGCCTAAAATACGGCTATCCACTATAAAATCCCTGAAACATGGTGATTTCTAAAATAAAATTTCTGGAAACAAAATTTCTGAAATAGAAATACAAAATTCTAAATTTATCAGGATTAATCTATATCTTAGCACTAACATTTCGCTAAATGATTTTAAATGATATTAACTTTAGAAGCATAGAAGTAGTCTCATGATATTGATGATAACTACTAAACCAATTTGATTTATCATTTCGATATGTAATAGAATTTTATGCTTTATTTTATATGTCACAAATAAAGGGACATCTATGACAAATGACTCATTGAGAACAGTTTAGACAAACATTTGTTATTTGTTATCACTATACAGCTCGAACCATGAATACACAATGAATATATCAGTAATATATCTTATCATTCAATAAATAATAATTTAAATTTAAATATTTGTATATAAATTCCTTTCTATTTTTGAAAATGTCAAATTTCTTTGAATTAATACAACAAAATTATACAAACGTTAATCATTATGGAAAATTAATTCATTTATAATAATTCAATAATTAAAATTATAATTGTAAAAAATGAAAAGAAAATAAATGATAATAATCTTGTTTGATTATCTTTAAGAATTTAGCAACACTGTCACATAATGATGACATCTCAGTGGTATTATCAATGTCCCATTTCAATTCTTCTTCTATCATTAAATTGAATAAATGACGACTAACCTATCCAATAAATTAGCTTCATTGAATCTTCTGTAGTTGATCGGATTTGTATGTCACACGTGGAATACAACAAAAGGATGGTCATTGGATTTATTAGGAGGGAAGAATGGTCATCTATAATACTAAATCTATTCAGTATTGTTATTATGGTGGTTATTGTCGAAGATGCAATTTACCGATGTATGTATGATATGGAAAAAAGAATAAATGCATCCTTTGTTATCAAAAAAAGAAAGATGGTTACTGTAACAGAACATGATCGAATTAGGAAAGGGAAATGGTGGAGAAGGTAGATTGGTCATCTAATAGATAGATGACAGGGCGGTTATTACCCCCTATAAGTGGAGAGTTTTGATTGTTTTTTGTTCAATGATGATTGAATATTGTAATCATGGTGGTTATTGTCAAAGGACTTATGTTGACTTCTTTTTCACATATCGATTCTCCCGGGAATTTTGCATCTTTTTCCTTTTTTCAAGTATTAATATCAAATGTTTTCCATTATTTTAATGTATATTCATTTGATATATGTAGTGTTTGCTGCAATGGTCATCAGTGGTCATCAATGGTCATCAAATGATACTTTTATACAAAAATTTTATAGAGCCAAATGTTGAGAATTTTGTATGCATTTAACTTTTTATTCATATCATGATAAGAAGTAATGATAAAACTATCAGGTCAAGTTACATGATAATACGATTTGCTTGAAAGAGGTAAATATTTACTTATATCATTCATTTGTGATTTTACTTTTTATTCATTCATTTAATGAAATGTTCATTTGAAACACGTAAAATACAAATTTCAATTCTAGTTCATTGAACTTCACTTATTATAATTGCTATTAATAATGTAAAAAGAGAAGGATGTGATATTTCGAGAAGCTAATTCTTTCAAAGATTTATTTTATCAGCAAAAATTAGTTCCTTTCATAAACTATATCTTCATCACATATTGCATGATAATGTATTGTCAGTTTGATGAAGAAAACATTGATAAATTGT